TGCTAGCAGGCTATGTTGGGTACATTTTAGTTGATCTGTTGTCCGGAGTATACCATTGGGGTATTGACAATTATGGTGATGCGTCAACTCCAATTTTTTGTTCACAAATGAAGGATTCCAGGGGCACCAAAAATGGCCCTGGACTATCACCAGGCGCCAGTTTACTAACAATTTACATGCATTGGCTCGTAGCATAACTCTTGAAGTGCTTCCAATAGATATTCTTTGCAATGACCCTTTTATTCAAGGCTTTGTTAGCATCTGTGACGGTTGCATCATATTCAGCCAACAATTTCATGCTTGGTCTTATGGCACCAAGAGCAAGCTCCCTCCGTTGGTGGTGGCGCTACAAGATGCCGGTGTGCTTGTCTCACGGTCGCAACATTCTGCACACCATAGACCACCTTATAACAGTAACTATTGCATCGTGAATGGAGTTTGCACTGAATTTTTGGACAAAAACAAGGTTTTTGAGACGCTGGAAATGGTTATATTTTTCAAGTTCAGGGTGAGACCCAGGTTTGGAGTGAGCCTGACGCTCAATGGACAGAAGAGACTACAGATCATTGAATTTTTTCCGCTCCTGTAATAAGAAATATAAGCAAACATTCAATGTTTCAAATCATGGACTTTTCTGCTGCAACAGCATTGCACTTCATTGTTAAAATAGCAAAGCAAAAATTCATCCCCGACATATGATCGGGCTCAATGTAACTGATTAAATGCAGTCTCCCTCTTTCTCTTTCCCCTCATTTTAATAGGTCTGATTTGGCTGTAAGAAGTTGAATGTTACTAGAAATAAGAAGGCATGAAAAATAGAAAAAGGAATACATTTCCCATACATGTTTTTATAATCATGCTGAACAAGAATTACGAAGGAGAAACAAACGAAAGTCTTCTTTCTCTTTATCTTTGTGAGTTCACATAAACCATTTGCAAGTTAAAACACACTTGAATTTGGGAAAAGAAAAGCGAGGAAGAAAAAAAAGGGACAGATTAATGTTAATTATCAGCACCAAATGAGGAGATGGAGGATACACAGGGGAACCAATATCGGTGTTTGCCATCCGCATGGCCATCATCAATCATCGCAAGACCTTCCTGCACATCAACCGAAAAGGATATTGTTAACCCCATGAATCCAAATGTAACAGTAACATCATATACATGCCAGTTGTTGCAAGAACTTACATCTAATAAGGTATCAAGGGCATCAATAGCACGCCCATGTGTCCAGGTAAGCCGTCTCTCTACCTCATCAACAGTCACATAGCCTTGAGCCTAAAAGAGAAACAAGTGGAACATCAATTAAGCAATTATTTGCTTAGGGTACTAGTTCCAAAATACAAAACAGAAGTATGAGAAACCTGTGCTAGCTCCAGAATTTCATTATGGTCTTTCTTCAACTCAGTTGGAACAGATCGAACAAGCTTTTTCTTTCCAGCCAAAATCACCTCAAATCCACTACCCAATGTCTGGAAGAAACAAGAAGTAAATGTTTTATGACGTGTTAAAATAGCAGCACAAAAATTATATAAGTTGCAGTTGCATAAGACAACTCCGTTACAGACCATGCAATAGAAAGTCAGACTAGCAAGCAGCAATAATGGCACTAACAATTCAACATATGTTCAAGGAACAATGTAGCTTAAAATAAAGGAAACCCAATCTGCACTCTCATGCTCATTCCTCTTGCTCATCCTGAGGGGTGGAAATGGAGAAAAGGAACGTGCAATGCTGGCAAACTGATTAATCAACATGAAACGAATATGAAGTAACATTACAACCATACCTTCAGCTTACTTATAGCACGCAAACAGTCATCCTCAGATACAGCTTCACGATCATGTTTTCGTTTCTGACGAAGCAATTTGCAGAGTTCCTGCAAGTCGATCAAACCTCCATTAAGAGGCCTAGTCGCCAAGCATATCTCAACAATTTGCACCCCTGTCTAGCCAAGTATCCAAGCCTTATTATAAGCACTCTACCAAGTCTTGACACAAATGCCTTTCATGCTAAGGTTAAAACTTCCAAATGCATAATAAGAACTATAAAAAATAAAAAATAAAATAAATGGAGAATTTACAGAGCATGAACTTATGTATCATGCAGAGAGGCTTGCAGTTGCATTATCCGCAAATAATAACTTTCACAATCTTAGAACAGTGAACAAAAAATGATCCAATCAGAAAAAAGTTGAACAGATTAAAACATTTCTATAAATATACCCAAAAAACAGAGACATAAAGCTCACATCTTTGCCCTAAATAGATAAAATAAAATCAATTTAAGCTAAAAAATTCAAACTTGAAAAAAAAAAATTCTAAAAAAAGAGATGAATTTTGGATACCAACCAAGTTCATAATAGAAATCACCAATCCCTAAAAGCTCAGCCCAAATCCCTTATTTGAAGCCAAAGGATCCATCCACTTTGGCACACATTTCATGAAATTGTGACCTAAATGACGGATTTTTACGAATATCATTCTGCCAAAAAAAAAAATCAAATTAGAAAATCAAATTAAAATTACAAAAAAAAAAAGAAATTGAGAGGAAAAATTTGTCTCCTTTAACCTTGTGTTTTCGAGCGAATTCTTCAAGCTGAGAACGAAAGGTGGCGAGCTGTTCTTTCATGAGATCGGTTCTTAACTTGGCTACATTTTCTCCCAGTAATCGATATTGATCCTGAAATTGAAAAATTAAAACAATAATTAAACGTAGATTTTGTAGAATGTAATTGAGATTAATTTGAATAATATTAATTAGTATTAAATTGGGTTCGAAACAAACCCTAGCGGCTGCCGCTGTTTGAAGGCCTCCGATTCCTGGTCTTCTTCTCATTTTCTTCTTCGAAAAACAAATGATTTGAAAATTCCATTTTATTTTTTTTTTAGCTTTTCCGATGAAGAGTTGACAAACTATAAAAATAATTGATGGAAAGAATCAACCGATCAGAGTGGCGCAGCGGAAGCGTGGTGGGCCCATAACCCACAGGTCCCAGGATCGAAACCTGGCTCTGATATGAGAGCAAGCTTCTCTTCCACTCATCCTTTTTTACTTTTTCTCTTTCCTTTGGGCCGTTTATTAAAGAGTTGGGCTTTGAGCTTTTTCTAACCCACTTTTTGGAACTCCTAGCACATTAATTTCATTTGGGCCGTTACTGAACTATTCGATACTATTGTTTCCACTTGTTTTACACTAAACTAAATATGCAAGAGTTGAATTATTGTCCAAACTTGAAAATCTACTCTCAAATTTTGAAAGGGATTGATAAAAAATTAAAATTGGTTGAATAGTTTGGTCTATAATTTTTATACCCATTTAAATTTCAAATCAAATCTTAGATAAATGATTTAAAACCTAAGTTTGATCCGAATTCACATATATATAATTTTTTTTTATATATTTTTGAATTATATACAAATTAGTTCATATATACAAATTATAAATTAAAAATATATATTTTATTAAATTTAATTCTCCTTTTATATATTTTTAATTTTTAATTTTTCTATATATGTGTATTGAAATAATTCTGTTAAACTTAATTTAATCACTTTTTTTAATTTTTATTATATAAATTAAGTTTAATGAGTGGATTTGAATTTTATTGTTTTAATTTAGGTCGATTTTGAAAATTTTTTAAATTCAAAATTTTGGACAAGCCTAAGTAAATATATAAGCTATTAATATTAAGTATAAACTTAAACTCTTTACATCAAATTAGACATAGCAATTTGAATATCTTTATCATGAAAAAAATTGAGAATTTATATATTCGTATTGTGTTTTACACAAAAATTATATGTCATAATTTGTATCAATATGAAATATATTTTTTTTATTTTTTAAATCCATATATAATTTTTATTAAAATTTTAAACTGTGTTACCTTCATTTCTTATTATTTTTTATATCATATTTTTAATTATCAGATCTATATTAAATTTTGTCCTTTTTATTATTGTTTTTCATAATTATCTCGAATTTTATTTCAACTTAATTTAATCTCTTTGCTACAATTTTAAAAGCACACATTCTAATATTTTTACATCGATTTAGTGCATTCAGTGTTTCAGGATAATTGAATTTTAATCAATTGTGTTTCCTTTTCTATAATGTTTCAACATATTAATGAATAGCGATTAAATCCATCATTTCTTATAAATACAAGAATGAATAGTGTAATCTGGCTTTTAAATTTTAAGCGTCCACATATCTTTTCTTGTAAAGAATGAAATGAAAAAATGCTTCATTCGGAAGATCGATGAGAAGCATTTTTTTTTTTTTAACAAAGAAAGATGCAGCCTATGGAAAATATAATAATTAAATATCATTTTTTAAAAATAACTGCACGAAGAACTACACCATCGGAGCTTAATTCATTGAAGTGGTTCTTTGACACTGGACACATAAGCTTCCACAACGACTTTTAAATCAAAAATCAAGTTATCTGGTCAATTTGTAATGGAACAAATGCATGTTTGGTGAACATGATCATGAATATAATAAGATAAAATGATATTATAAATAAGATTAAATTAAATGTCATCTTATTTTGTGTTTGATCTGCGTAAAAATTAGTATAATTTTATTTATTGTCAAAATTATCTTTTTTCAAAATTTATATAATCTAAGTTAATGATGTAATTTTTAAGAGTATAATGGATGATATAATTTTAATCCCATAAATTAAAAATAATATCATTCAATACCGAGCGGATGACTACTAATCTTTCTTGCAATCCTATCTCTCTCTCTTTTTATGATACAAACCAAATTTGATACAGGACGATTATCATCCTATGCGACAAACATGACCAAATTACTTGAGATTACCTTGGAAAGGTTTTGATTAGAAATCAGATTGATTCATCATTAACCAAACATAAGATGATGCAGAACTGAACTCAGATGCCACTTAAAGAGGTCAAAGAAAAAGTAATTTCAATGATGAAGAAAAGAAATATGTGAAAAGATATGGATCAAACCACCTTACATCAATTAAAGGTACTTATAATTCTTTGTTCATATATAATCTTAGCTTGTCACAGAGACCACAGCATAGAACAAGATGAACCATTAGAAACATGCACTTTTCGATATCAAGACATCCATGATTGCAACTCAAGCATACACATTGACTAACATTTTAAATGCAGTAGGTCGGGGCACTTGTGGGTCGATATATGAAAGGTCTGACAGTGTGAAAATAACCTGATGGACGATTATAGGTGAACTTGACTCCGGTGCTGCCCTCCCCGAGATGGTTGCAGTGATCATGGAAACTACTGATAGGTCGTGCCAAGCATGCATCCCACCGGTCACTCTCAGGCATTGTTTCAGCCACTGTGTATATCCCCTTAGCATTTGTGAAAGCCTGATAGTTCACCACTTCCCCGGATTTTGTGATGCAAAGAACAGCAACCTCAGCACCTGCAAAAAAACAGTTGTTGTAGACAAACATAAGACAATCTGATCAAATTTCAATGATGATTCATAAATTTCTAGATTCTGTTTGAAATATTAGTTAAGATTTCCATATAAAAACCCCAACTTTGCATGGTTAAAGTAATCAGGAAATTGCCTAGATGAACAAATCTTATACTGTCCTTTAAAGAATCCATGGCATAGTACAACTTGAAAGACGAAACCAACACAAAAAATAGATCGGGCTATCAGCCTTCACCAGCACTGGTAATTGGAGTATCAAGTCTGAGAGCATTGAACCATCCTTAAGACAAAGAAAACACAACGGAAGATAGACTCGTAAGGAATGCAACAGGTAAAAAATCACATTTCAATGCCACCATTTCAGTTATTCTTCAAAAATTACAAAGTTCGCTTTCATCTATGCGTGCAGTATTGAAGACTCATTCTACAATCACTTAAATAAGACCTTAAAACTTCGAGAACAGTTATATCGATTGCAAACAGCTTTTTCTTCGTTGTGGAAAATGAATAAGGATTTATTTACAAAATAACAGACACCTTTTTCAATCAGTTAGAAAGTTTCATCAAGTATCCATTCTTTGATTGATAAGCCACTTACTTCACCAAGCAAAAATGAAAAAGAAGGATCGTTTTGACCGCGATGAGTTGGTGTCATTGTTGTATCACAACATTAGAACCCTAGATCTGTCCTTCACAATTCGAACTAACTTTAAAAACAAAGAAAGAACAAAGCGAACATGACAGCCGCCAACGTCACAGAAGAATGAAAACTAAACCAAAGATTACGAACATATCCCACAAAATTTTTTTTTCGGTTTAAGCCCATAACAGAATTGCTTACATAGACTTTTGGAGGATGCAACCTACACAAAAAGGATTCAGACAACAGCAGTCAGCTTAGAGACCCTTTCTAACACTATAATAGCTGAGCTGTTTGCAGCTCAATTAGCCACAGGTAGAACTATGGAGCAAGCCATAGAAGCAATTTACACAAAGTAAATCAAAGGAAAACCACTCAAATAGACAAACTGCACGACACAGTGAGCTAATCAGATCATCACAAGGTAATCTTTTTATTGTCTTTTTCAAAATCTAAGCATAAATTGAATCAATCAGATGCAGTTATATAAACAAAGTCAAAAAGACCAACCATAACCACTAATTAACCAAAGAAGGAAGAAACTTTATCAATACCCAGAAACTATAAACCCACCGACACATTAAAGAATCATAATTCCAACTCAAAACCCACTTCAAATTTCAGCTAAAAGACCAACCTTGACCAATCAAACAACATAATTAAAAATTATAAATAAAGAAAGAGAGAAAGATAGGAACCTTCCAAAACATGATCTTCGGGGCCAATGGAAGAATCAGCACAAACATCACAGACAACTCTTCCATGAATCTCACCAGTCCAAGATTTGACACCTGAGACTAAGAAGACAGCTAAGACAACAAAACCCAGAACCAGATTGTTGTTCTTTGATTCCATCGGATGTGTCTTTTTAAGTTGAGTAATCAAAAGTGTAACCAGAAAGGAGAGCAGACAGCGTTATCCAGCAAGACACGTATCTACTTATATGTAAATTTTAGAAGTGAAAGCTAGTATTGGGGATTTAGTGGGTCCCCCTAGACTCTGACTTCTTCAATATTTACTGTATGCTTGGAGCTGTCCTGTTGAATCCCTCCGGTTCTTGCTCTAAGAAAGCCCATCTTGGCTTCTTTTTTCGCGGGCCCATCTCACTACCTCAAAAAGCTCATGGCAAATTGTAATCTAATTATATCTGGACCACCAACCAGGTTTGATAAGGATTTTTTTTTGGTACTGATTTCCTATCGGCTCGACACAATGTTCTTTAACAGTACTATGGATGTTTTTAAAATGAACTACAATATGTTGGATGGTTGGATTAGCAATGGCCTCGTAACATCAATCTTCTGTTCTTCCTTTTGTTGCAGCGGTTTCTCAGTTTTCTTTAGAGCTTGATTTTGGTTACATGAAACATATGGTAAAAGAAGAAAGGCAGTAATCTACAAGAAGAACGTAAAGCATCCTCCCCATTCTAAAACAACAGTGTTTTGACTGAACAACATTCAATGCAATTGATATGTTGATAAGGCCTCACCAGTTTACATACAACTTGAACTGATAATCAAGGAAATTTTTTTATGTATCTCCAATAACAATTTTTTGGATCATTCGTATCATTGATCCACATTTCTAGCCACTTCAACACTTGGACCATGACATCACTTCATATGTCGGTTACCCTGGCATCATACTCATGAAGCAGAATGATTACACAATTTCAGTCAAGTAAATTTGTTTAAAATGGACACCTGAAACTTTCCCAAGTCATCATCAGAAAAAGAAAATTTGTGTCAGGTTATTATCTTGTAGTTGGCTCATGAAATTTGTTTTTGGAACAGACCTAACAAGTGGCAAGATTGAGAATTAAAAGGAATGGAAATGAGGACAGAAAAGCTCATAATTCTGATAATGAGAGAGGTAGTTAAGAAATGCGAAAATATATGTCTGCTTCTATATTTAGCAAACCTGAAAAAGTTATTTTTGGCTATTGGCTTCAATGGATTTGGACAGAGTAAAAGCAAATCAAACATTATGAGAAATTTTACTTTGAGCCTTCCTGAGGGACCAGACAGGTTTTGGTTTCCTTCAGGAGCTAGGATTCCGAGAGCTCAACTGCCAATTTTCTTAATACTTGAGCCTATTAAACATTTGGTTTAAGAATTTGGTTGTTGTCATGACAAGGAAGACCAAAATGAACTGTTTTTCCTGTTGCATGTCAGAAGAGAGACTAAATAGAAGGTCAACAAAGAAGAGCATGAAGGAATACAATGACACAAAAACTATGGTTTCATTTGCCAATATTGCATTCAAGAGTGGTACAATTTTTGCCCTGAATGGATTTGAGAATATGCTTTATTTTCCTTTAGTTTTGTTGATACCTTTCCTTTTTATATATTTCTTGTGTCAAAAATAATTCCCATATCTTTGTTTTGTCACCAGCATGTAATGGAGGAACATATTTTTGCATATATAGTTTCTGACCCTTTTTTTTTTATTCAACCTCAATTCAATTCAATTCAAATCATAAATGGTATCCAAAAAGAAAATGTTAGTTTAAAGATGGTGTTCTTCAATTTTCTAGATGTTTTTTTAAAATCATGAAGACAATCTAATTGATGAATTGACCATTGGAATAGATGTTAACTATTGCCAAGCCAGGCTCAGCTTCATTCCTATATTCTTGGTCACCCTGTTGAGGTTTCATATCATCATGAAAAAGAATAATCATTGAGTTGATTTTATATTTTGGTTATGGTACAAAGATGACAAGAAAGGGTTAGATCTGTGAGCCCCAGATTGTTGATCTTTTGAAACCTTTTCATGCCTTTGGCCACGACACGTTTCAACTTTTAACAAAGTTCTTTTCTCTTATGGCTGAAGACTTCGAGTGGTTGATTCATGGTTTGAACAAAATTTTCTGTTTTGGCAGATAGCAGCAGAAAGAGATACATTACCCAAGAAATAACAAAAATGGGTAAAGGTAATATCACTGCTAGGATTTTTAACTACAGTGAGCTATGCACCGCCACTAAAAACTTCAACCCAGATGATAAGCTTGGTGAAGGGGGTTTTGGGAGGGTCTACAAAGGGCATGTTGAAAACCCAAATCAAGTACCATTTGAAATCTTAATCATCTCTTTATTCCTTTGCATTAAAAAGAGTTTTTAACAAAAAATATATGGTTTGCATGATATTTAGTTAGTAATTTCATATTGTTGTTCCATCATACTTTCAGGTAGTTGCTGTCAAGCAACTTGACAGGAATGGATATCAAGGAAACAGAGAATTCCTGGTTGAGGTTTTGATGTTGAGTCTACTTAACCATTCTAACCTTGTAAATTTGGTTGGATATTGTGCCGACGGGGATCAAAGGATTTTGGTCTATGAATACATGGCTAATGGCTCCTTGGAGAATCACCTGCTAGGTATGTTTGACATTTGAGTTGTTATCATTTATTTTGATATAAGACTAGCAACACAACTTCAGACTCGGATGGATAATGTGATTCAGAACTTGAACTTTTAAGTGAAATTCTTACAATTTTCTTGCAGTTTTAGAACTTCCATTGTATATTGATATTTTGTTTTGGTGAACATACTCAATTGTTTGTAACTCTTGCCTTTCAGATTTACCTCCAGACAAGAAGCCATTGGATTGGAATACCAGGATGAAAATTGCTATTGGTGCTGCTAAAGGCCTTGAACACTTACATGAAACAGCCAATCCTCCAGTGATATACCGCGACTTTAAGGCATCAAACATATTACTGGATCAGGATTTCAATCCAAAGCTCTCGGATTTCGGACTTGCAAAGCTTGGTCCAACTGGAGATAAGACACATGTTTCCACCAGGGTTATGGGAACCTATGGCTACTGTGCACCTGAGTATGCACTGACCGGCCAGTTGACTACAAAATCAGATGTTTACAGCTTTGGAGTTGTGTTTTTGGAGCTAATCACAGGAAGAAGAGTAATAGACAATTCAAGACCAACAGAAGAACAGAATCTTATCACTTGGGTAAGTATCGAATGTTTTATTCTTCTAAACAATCGTGGAAACTGTATTGCTTTATACATTTCTAACTTCTAACCTTCTATAACACTGATTATATCCCCTTTTGCAGGCAACACCCCTATTCAAAGATAGAAGGAATTTCACATCAATGACTGATCCATTGCTGGATGGGAAATTTCCCATTAAGAATCTCCACCAAGCACTTGCTGTTGCAGCAATGTGTCTGCAGGAAGAAGCAACTGCCCGGCCTTTGATGAGCGACGTGGTAACAGCTCTTGAGTACTTAACTACAGGCAATGAACTAGAAGGAAGGGAAGAATAGTTGACAAACAAGAAATCAGTTTCTCCTGGTAGGCACAGTGATAGAGATATCGAAAAACCAAAGAATAAAATGAATGTACAAGAGAAGGATAAAAACAAAGGGAACAACGGCTAATGGAGCCCATCAAACTCATATCCTGTTTCAGCTAAGCTGCAATCCATGGAGTCGACTCAAGTCTCATTGCTTTAAATCCTTTCAGGGTCTGCTTTGCTAAGGGGTACAAGGGAAAGGAAAAAAAGGTGATGGAGCTCATGTGGGCCGTGGCCTCTTTCAATTTCAAGGAGCTTTGCCATGTTACTGCCATCAATGTGCAAACCAACCTCATTTCCATTAACTCAACTTTGTTTATGTTTCCTTTCTGGTTTCATTTGCAGAAAATTTGTGAAACTTGTTCCCTTCACTTTTGTATCAGGTAACTTAGAATGAAAGAAATGCTTAGAAAATTTTAGTATGATCCAAGGCTTCAAACTATAATGGCACATATGCAATTTCCCAATATTCTAATCCTCAATTCAACAACAAAAATACAAAAAGATAAATATTTGCCGAAAGGGGGTTTCTAAATATATCACAAAAATTTCTATATACACCTTATAAATTTTCTTCCAAAAATACTCATATAGTAAATACTAATTTTAGTCTTTAGTAAATGACAAATATTCTCTCAATATCTTATACACTTTATACCTTCTTCTTCCTCTTGTATTCTTCTTTCTCATACATTAAACTCTAAATCTTTAAAACTAAAACCAAAGTTTTGATATTTTTATTAAATCCTGCAAACCATGTAAGAATGGATTTAGAAATGAGAAACAACAATAGAGAAGAAGAGCTCGACGAGGTAATGGAAACTCACCCAATCAAGTCTAAATTTTTTGTATTTTCGAAAATTCGTTTTCTAAAATACAAATAATTCTTGAAAATGGATTTTCGAGAATTATATTGTATTGTCGAAAACCCATTTTAGAAAATTATAAGTTTTAGTGAATTAGTTTGCATTCTCGAAAATCTATTACCGAAAATACATTATAATTTTCAGTAATTTTTATATTTCTTATAATAAAATTTGTTTAATATATTATGATATGTAAATCAATTTGAAAACTACAATGTTAAAGTGGAATCAATCATCAGACAGTTTAGATACTAAATATGAGTGCATATATACATTTACTACATAAGAGGTAAGATTGTGTTTTTGAAATTTACTGTTATTGAAAAGTATAGAAATATAGAATTTTACTTTATATAGACGTAATAAGTTAAAAATATTGTGTATGTGCTTTGTAATAGAAAAGTTTTGATTTAATGGGTTAGACCTATTGGAAAAGATCAAGGTTTCATGATTGTAATTAAAAACTCTACGGTGAAAGGCTCGAGGAAACCTAGAATAAAATTAACATATGAATGAAATGAAAAATACAAACAGTTTAAGAATAAAGGCAATGTAGAAGAAATGAAACGTAAGAGAACGAGAATGAAAAAGTGTGATTGCCTATTTAAATTACATAAGATGAAGTTGGTAATGGATGATGAATGGGGTATGAAAGTAGTAAGTAGAATTCACAATCATTTACTTACACAACAATTAAAGGGACATTCATTTGTGAGTCGATTAACTAAAAAAAAAATAGTTGCTAATATGTCAAACAGTATGATCAAACCCAAAAATATCCCATTGATCATAAAACAACATGATGAGAAAAATGTAAGTATTGTAAAGACAATATACAATGAACGTAAAAACACAAATATGTTGAGAAAGCTAGTAGATCACAAATATAACAATAGATGAAAAAGTTGACTGATTGTAAATACTTTAAGTGGCATAGGACTGATAAGTCAAGCGATTATGTGAAAAACCTCTTTTAGGGTTATTCTACTGGTGTAGAGTTATTGCGAGCCTTCCCATCAGATATAATTATGGATTGCACTTATAAAATGATCAAGTATCTTATGTTATTGCTTGAAATTGTTGGTGTGACTTCCATTTAGATGACATTTTCTATTGCATTTGTGTACATAAAAGGTTGAGTATTCTGAGAATTATGTTTGGGTGCTGGATAAGTTAAAAGATTTGATGCCTATTGGTAAATTTCCAAATGTCATTGTTATTGATAGAGAGTTGGCATTGAGCGGAATGATAAATGAGAGGCATTCATGTCCAATTGGAATATACTAGTATATTTATCTACCTATAGTGAATATGAAAGACATCTAAGCTCATTAAAACTTGATTATCAAACTTATCTAGGTGCATTAAAGTATGTGAAAATCAATAGTTGGCAAAGTATAAGGATCGATTTATTGCTACTTGGATGGATAAAGTAATACACTTTAGCAATATTACAACAAATAGGTATGATTTATGTTGTATTGTTAATATTATATATGGTTTTTAGTATTTTATAGCAAATCATTCCTATACATTTATTATTTCGGTTAAGACCGAGAATGCATGCTCAAAATTAAAAAGGCACTTTGGATCATCTCAATGGGATTTCAAATCATCATGAAAGATAGTTAATGTATTTATTAAGCTCTAACATATAGAGATGAAGGCTTCATTTGAGTGAAGTCTTACCACTGTCGAGCATAATTTCAAGCTTTTATTGTTTAAAGATTTACAAAGTTTGGTATTTAAGAGCGCACTGAATATAAATTGACAAAGGTCAAGCGAGCTAATCGTGTTGGACTTGATGCAAATGTTTGTAGTTGCATAATCAGAAGCACGCATGGATTGACTTGTGTTCATAAAGTTACAAAGCATATAATAATGAAAAATCCAATTTTTTTATCTGAAGTGTATTAATATTAGAAGAAGTTAGATTTAATGAAGAGCTTAGATAATGAAATATCTAAACAATTAATCTTTTCAGTTCAAGGTTGATCGAATTATTAAATATTTTAATGAATGTGATGAGTTCAATAAGTTGATAATGAAAAGAAAGCTGTAAGAACTTGGTGATCTGTCCATAACTACTTTGATGCCAACATTAGAAATGGCTAAGCGAAAAGGTCATAGAGCTATAAAAGCATATACATAACGTAACCCGTCACACTGGGATATTGTGTTATCAGTTCAAGATAGTTCATCACTACCAACCACTACAAATTCAATGAAACTGACAGAATATATCACTAAACTTCTTATTTATCGACCTCATAGTAAACAAAAAATGCGATATTTATATAGTATGCTAGTGGAGTTACATCTATATAAATAGAACATCATTGATGTTGAGACGAATGGACATTTTGGTTTTTGTTCCATTGGTTGGTTGCTTGCATTTGAATTAGATGGTTTGGTACAAGTGAGATGAGATTTAATTAAAAAGCTTAATTGATTTCAAAGCAATTATGTCACTTTATATGGATCTATAAAGCATGTTTAGGAATTGCTACAAACTTTATCGTGTTTTGATACTTTTACATTATATAATAAGTGGATGACTTTACTTGATGTAAGTCTTTTGATTGCCTCTCGATATAATAGCATGTTAGTCTACATCAGTCTAAAATAGTGCCTGACATATCTACCTATTAGATCTATACTACCTGCACCATTTAAGCAAAGATTAATTACGATTAGATTTGTTAATAACTGTCATTTTATGTAGGTACCTTTACTTAATGTTGTCATTTACTATTTATATTTATCATTCCTATTTTATGCGTGTGTTAATAACATTATATAAATAACATTCCTATCTTATACAGGTGTTCATGAAACCATTCTTATCAATACTTTCTATCGCATACAACTGGCATAAAATTCGATATAGTTGTGCTTGACGGTGAAAAATTCCATATATACCTCGCTTGAAAATTTTAAGTTATTGTTTAGTTTAAATTTTAATATGGTCAATTGAGAAATAATAGGCATTATTTGATTGTTTTTTGTAATAATTGTTAACAGTTTATATTAATGTTTATGGTTTATATTAGTTTATGCTATCCAATTGACAAGCATACTTTATATATACAAAAAATCGGTGATGTTATATAGATGGATATTTTATATTGACGATTGTTATATTTGATATTTTTGTAATGGGATGTGTCATATTGAAGAGGTAATAATCTAATGAATATTTGATAAATTTAAACTAAATATAAACAAAATGAAGTAACTATAAAATTAATAACCTAAACATAATTAACTAAATATAAAATTAGTATCAATACATGCAAATAATAAATAATCGTATCAATCCCTCTCATTTAGCCTCTTGCCTCGATGAGATACACGTGGTATAGGAAGAGGGGACTTTGCTATTTGCATAGAAGTCTCTAGCTGGGTCGATACTGCTGTCTTCGTAAAAGGGAGAATCGAGTAAGAATGATGATGTTGCCAATGCTGGTGGTAATGAGGATGGTGGGGCCGTGAGCAAGCTAGGAGGTGTTGATGGGCATGCACTAGCAAGGTCGGAGGTGCAGGTGTCAATAAGACTAGATATGGAAGAGGCATGGTGGCCTAGATAGTCTAAATGTATGAATTGATGGTGCAAGAGTCCAATGCCAATTTAAACTAATTGTTGTTGCTTGCATTGTGAACTCGAGGTGTAGGTGTCAATGGGACTAGAAATGGAGCAGGCATGGTGGCTAGATAGTCTAGATAGTCTAAATGTATGAATTAATGGTGCAACAGTCGATGCCGATCTAGATTGACTGTTGCTGCTTGCAACAGTATGGTCAAACTCACCTAATATGGCTAGTACTCGAATAATGTTGTCTCTTTAATAGTCAATGCCTTGATCAAATCTACCAGCCACGATATGATCAAGAAAAGATTAAGTAGCGAGCTTCACTACAAAAATATTACTAAGGTTATTAGTATTGATATCATATAATTAAAAATTAATCAATTAATAAAAAAAACCTTAAAATTATAAAATTTATGACTTATTGAATCACTAATATGCGTAGAATCAATCGGCTAAGGCTTGAATCTGGATCAATACTTTAGATTTTGAATAAGGGAGTGAAATTGTTGTAAATCAAGCATTGTAGTCCAACGAACACTTTCCCGATCTTTAACATGCCCGGCTTCGACGCTCAACCAACACAATGTGTATTTCTCATAGTTCACAGTGCTGGTGCAAAAAGCTATATGCAACATTGTACTGGTACTGCGATAGTTCTCGATCAACATGGGACGGGGTTAATGGTTGTGGTGAAATAGTCTATACAAAATTAAACTATCGTAGAACTCTTTTCAAGTGGTATGACTGTATGATTGCCTCACACTTGATACATCTAGTGGAAAAGGTAATCTTATGCAGTAAATGTGCCTTTCATCTATTGATGTATGATTGTCAACACATGTTCGATACTGTTAAGCCACCTAAGCATTCACATAAAGCTCACAATATATCAGCATAAGTATAAATCTTCCATTATCGCGACAGATTGTTTGAGTATGTCAATATAGCAATGGGGCCAAGATTAAAAATACTCGTAAATTCACGCCTACATAAAATACATAAGTAATATTTAATTAGATAATCTCATATATGCTAATAAAAAATAAATCAAATAATTATAATATGTTTTTAACTAATTATAAATACATATTTGGATAAGTGTCAGATATCTGACGATTCGATGCACGTCTACTCTGATCGCAATCTCAAGCTGCCTATATAAGTATGTGAGTTCATCATCCCTAAGCATAACGTCCCGTGGCAGTGAGGTCCTCTAATAGGGGTAAGTACGTTATGAGACTCTCATCCCTATCTTGTCACAAAAAATATTGTACACCCTAGCAAATATATAAGAAAAGCTAGGAATGCACTAGTAATCGCCTTATCAAATGATGCATTAGTGATAGTCAGATAGTGAATCCTTTACCCAGTGTGGTTTTTGTCTAGTCACCTCATCAATAACTCCAAGCAACGTCGATAATACTGTGTTTGCCTTGTGTATCGTCAAATAAGGTAATGAAACTATGGCCCTAGTGATCGATATGTGTAAAAGGGTAAACACATTGTCTAGTGTGATAGCATCTCATCAAATGACATATGAAATATGTTCATTTTAGGCTGTCACTTATTGACAAAAACGGACATTATGGTGTTGTTGATGATAGGATATGTTGTTGTCGATGAGTGAAACAACCTTGACTGGACACTTGGGCTCAATCCTACTACATGCATTGTCTAAATACCATTATTGTAACTTTGGCCTATGGTTAATTCGATTTCAACGTATCTCACTTCCTATAATAATAATAATAACAACAATAACAACAAAAATAAGATCAACATCACTAATATCAACAATATACATAATAACATCAACAATAACAGTCAACCAAGTCATTATAAAGACATAAACTAATATGATTTGTTATTATATGATTCAAGTGATTATTTGACTATTCAAATTTGGAATGCAATATGAGAAGCAAAACTCAAAAAAATGAAAGTATCAATAGGACCTCTTAAAAAAGACTTTACATGATGCTCATCTATGGTGAAAGTCAAAGGCTTAACTTGAGGAATGTCATCGGTCGTATAATTCTCTGGCTCATCGTCCCCTATTTGTCGTCTCTTATTGAAAACAGTTGGATACCTTCGACTCGGATTAGCATTAGCTCTGGTACTTCTACCTCAAGTAGGAATACCTTTTCCTCGTGCACGAGCCATATCCGTAACAAAAAATAACTTACTAAGCTTATAGAATATATTTACAAACTTTTGTAAATAAAAAATAACATTACACTAAAAGTCCAATTTCTTTCTCATTAAAAACATGTAAACTATTGGGTTTAGACATAACAGATCATTTTTAAACAAGGAATTGATCATGTTTATATAGAAAACAAGAAAATAGATATTTAAATTTTCAAAAAATTCTTCAAGCTTCTAAAAAATTATTT